CTTCTGAGGATCTCTGTCCTCCATCCTCGAAACAAGAAGGAGGCACTAGCTCTATTCATAAAAGAGTGCTAGGACCTAAGTGACAGTCATTAGTCCTGCTTCCCACTTCTGTGTGTGCATAAGGATGGATCGTGTTACCAAATCAGGACATTGTAGGATGTGGCCCATGACCTAAACCAAGCTTCATGGTTCAGCCTCCAGCCCCAGGGAGTCATACTGAGGTACAGGCAGCAATAGCAGAGACTTGATTTATATATAGTTCAACCATCTTTTTAAAAACTATGAATATTTTATATTTATTATGATCTACTTATAGCATAATGCTTGTAAATAGCATATATATAATTTATACATAAATACGTACAAAATATCCTGTGTACGTACTTTTACTGATGAGATAAATTACCTTAGAAAAATCTCTTAAATTAGCCACAAAGGAGAGTTCTTGTTCTTCCATTGGCTTCTCCAGTGTGCAGCAGGTGACCCTCCCTTTGCTTGGGGACTTGATACTGTACGAGGAACCTGGGTTTCGATGTCCAAGCATGCGCAGCTGAGTTTGTGGCTGGTGATGTCAGTGTGCCACTTCTCTGCCATCCTGCAGCACAGCAGCGTGTTCTCCACCCGCCAACCTGGAAATAAGACAGGTCCACTCCGATCAGAAACCACAAACTCACATGGCACAGTCATGGAGGAAAATCAGGCACAGAACACTTTACAGAACATGGTTTCATTTGCTTGTTTTTTCTAACAGGGTATACTCACTCATGCAATTTTTCTAGGATGTGCACGACACTGGTAACAGAATTTTTTTCTATGAGAAATTAATAGAAAGCTAGGTGGGACACTGGGCAGATAGTTCAGTCACAGAGTCCTTGTACAAAATGATTAATAGTAATAGGTGAATGTGGTGTGTAATTTGAGAATACTTCTTATTTAAGCCAGTTTGATGGCATTCACTAAAATCCCAGCTACTAAGAACATGAGGCAGGAGGATTGCTTGAGCCCGGGAATTTGAGGCCTCCTTCTCAGCAGAACACCATGAAGGAGGGAAGGGAGGGAGGGAGGAATGCAGGAAACCAGTAAATCTGGGTGAAGGGAAAACATTCTTTTATCCACACTCTTTTGTACTGCTCCTATTTTCCCAAAGACAAAGGCATTTTCATGATAAAATAGAAAATTAGCTCTCCGCACTATTTTGAAAAGTGTCCATCCGTGGTGTGCATTTAGCGTTACACATCCACCATTGCTGTCTAGTCCCTAAGCATTTTCATCATCCCCAAAAGAAACTGGACCATGAAGCAGTTCCTCCTCAGCCACTGCTGTTCCTTCCCAATGCCCCCAGCCTCAGCCAATCACCTGTCAGCTTTCTGGCAATAGGGCTTTGCCTACTCTGGACATTGCATATAAATGGAATCATCTGGCACGTGAACCTTTTAGATTGACTTCTCTCACTTAGCACAGCATGTTCAAGTGTTGGAGTGTGCATCAGAATGCGATTCCTCCAAGGGCCAACACTCTTTTCTAAGGATGTATTGCATCCAGTTTATCTTTGCATCATCTGATGACATTTATGCTGTTTACACCTTTGGCCTGTGGAGAGGTTGGGTGAAGTGAGCTGTGGCCAGCTTCAGGCTATGAGACTCCAGTTCCCTGTCACAGAAGTGAAGCAAGCAACTTTTCTTATCTGGTCCAAAAAGGGCAAAGGAAGAAGGAAGGGACAGGGTACTTGCTGGGCCCCAAATTGCACGTCAACCACCCTGGCAAGAAGAGGCTCCCTAACCTTCCCAGAGAGCTTACTTCCTTCATACAGAGCAGAGAAGCCCCCTCCTAGGAAGGCCGGAAAGGAGGGCCTCAGAAAAGACCATTGACCCGGTGAGGGGAGAGCCTGCCACCAAGCCAGCCAGACTGTCCTTCCCCCTCACACACACACACAGTGCCCAGCCGTGGTGTTAGTTTTGCCCACATATGCCCCACTCCACCATCTGCTCCAGGCCACTTTGCACGTCGTGCTGCCAACATGTAGGCCTCAGAGAGGCAAAGGCAGGCTCTGAGCCTTGTTTGGGAGTGAGCCGAGTATCCCAGTAGCTAGAGACTTCAGTACAGCTTTCCTCAGGAAACAAATGGACAGGAGGAACCCAATAACCCAGAGATAGCGCTCTGAAGAGCCGTGTGATGAGGGAGAGAGCCAGTCTGGGTGAATGAAGGCATCCAGCTCAATTGTGATCCAGCCTCAACCACTAGCAATCTCTGTGGTGCCTGCTGCCCTGTGTGGAAAATGGAGCCAAGTCTCCTTTCTTGTAGGGAGGTATCCTACACCCTGCAGTACAGAGACCAGAGCTATACGAGGACGTTCACACACACTCAGTGCCATTGGGAGATGAGAGGAGACATCTCTGAGCTGGGTCTTTAAGGGTGGAGAGTAATTCCCCAGTAAAAGTGTAGGAAGGCACAGAGAATAGGATGAACACAGGCCTGGAGGTCTGGCAGGGATCCACAAAGCAGTTTGTAGTGATAGGTATCTGGGTTAAGTGAGGAGCCACAGGAGACCAGATGTAGAAGTAGAACTCCCATACACAGGCTGAGGCTGTCCTGAGTCCCCACTCTGTCACTGGGGCTTTCCCAGACCTGCCCCTGGATTCTGCCAGTATTCCTATAAGCTTGGCTCTTTCTGACAACCTCACAGATGGCTGCAGCCCCTCCCAGTCGATTGTGGACGGCTACTATGAGGACGCGGACAGCAGCTACCCCACCGCAAAGATGAATGGAGAGCTGAAGAGCTCCTGTATGTACCAGGCAGCTGCTCACACAGCTGTCCTCCAGAAGAGCTGGCCCTCAGCATGCACACACCCACAACCCCTTACCAGACTGTGAACACCAGACAGGTCCCAAAGCCCTTGTTCTCAGTGGGTTCTGTGGGATGGGAGTCATGAGTCTTTCCCTGACCTGATTCTTGATGACTGATCTTAGGCAAGGTCAGTTTCCTTATCCATCCGGGGATTTGGGTTTTGAAGATGGCCTGAGACAATAGCTGTGGATGGTGATGAGGTCAGGGTAATAACAGAAGTTTATTGAGCACTTACTGGTATAAGACACTTAGCTAAACATTGTCCATGCCACGGGGTCCAAGGCACCAGATGAAGTGGCATCTGGTATTTATCATGACTACATATTGGTGAAGAACTCCAAGAAGTGAAATCACTAAGACCCGGTCACAGAGGCCAGTCCCAAGCTTTTGAGTAAGACCTCATCCTTGTTCTTCCTCTGCCTCCCATAGCTCAGGCCCAGAGCAGGCTGCCTGCCAGGGTTAGAAGGGCTTGAGGGGGGGAGGGTACAGGGACTGAGGGTCCTTTCCTATGACACCCACAGACAACGACTCTGATGCCATGAGTAGCTCCTATGAGTCCTATGATGAAGAGGAGGAGGAAGAGAAGGGACGGCGCGCGGGGCACCAGTGGCCCTCAGAGGAGGCCTCCATGCACCTGGTTAGGGACTGCAGGATATGTGCTTTCCTGCTTCGGAAAAAGCGCTTTGGGCAGTGGGCCAAGCAGCTGACAGTCATCAAAGAGGAGCAGCTACTGGTGAGTGCCTCCCTGGAGGCCTGTGGGTGTGTCCTTATGTGCCTGAGGGTGTGAATGGTCTCTGCACAGAACTTTAGGGCATGGTACTTCGAGCTCCACACGTACACACACACACACACACACAAAAAAAAAAAAAAAAAAAAAAAAAAAAAAAAAAAAAAACTTGAAAATCAGATGGAGGCATACCTAGTTTTTCTTTCCAGAATTTTTCTTAATGACGTTAAAACATTCATTGTTCTTTATTATGCAAGTTAATGTACTTGATTCATAAACTAGGGAAAGGGCTAGGAATGTAGCTCAGTGTCCAAGTACTTGCCTAGCATGCACAAGATCAGAATTTATTCTAGTATCACAGTGTAGTTTAGGATTCAAACTACCCTCACTTGCTGTGTGTGTGTGTGTGTGTGTGTGTTGGGTGGGAGAGAGAGAGAGAGAGAGAGAGAGAGAGAGAGAGAGAGAGCCAGTTAGGTCACTTTTACAAGAGTGTAGACGCCTTACCAGTATTTACTGAAGAAAATGTCTCTCCCTCCCACCTCACCCCCACATCAGTATCTACTTTCAGATCCTCTATTGTAGCATTATTGTCAATTTCTTGTGTCTCAGTTAGGGTTGGCGTCCCTATAAGAGGCCTGCCTACCCAAGGTCAGCACTGTGCACATGTCAGGATTCACTCCTAATGTTCTGCCATGCAACCCTTTCAGCTGGCATCCTCCCAAGCCAACCTATTTGTTCTCTGGTTCTTCAGCCCACATGGTCTTCTTTCTATTGTGATATAATCTGCCTTTTCCTCATGGACAGCTGTGCTGGAAGAGTCCCAGAGACCCTTCTCAGGCTTCTCACTGTGAGGCATTGCTCACAGAGTAGCTTCTCCCCTCTACTGCAGGAGGGTCTGAACCCCTCTCTCCCCATGCAGTGTTACAAAAGCTCCAAGGACCGGCAACCACATCTGAGGCTGGCGCTAGATGTCTGCACTGTTGTCTACGTGCCCAAGGACAGCCGGCACAAGCGGCATGAGTTGCGATTCTCCCAGGGAGCCACGGAGGTGTTGGTCCTGGCTTTGCAGAGCAGGGAGCAGGCTGAGGAATGGCTGAAGGTATGCATGCACAGGACACACGGGTGGCTGCCATCCTGCCCTCCCTCCCTTCCTCTCTTTCCCCAAGCCTGGGAATCTAACCGTGGAAGTACCAAGCCTTATCTAGGAAAGAAGGGATCTGGGGGTTTTTGCATGACTAGGACTCATATCAAATGGGCCTTGGATATTCACAACAAACATATATCATATAGGTGGTCTATATCTTCCAGCTATTTAACTTTCCCATACAGCAACCCACTGTTTGCCCAACCTTCACTTCTGGAATGGTGTGCTTGATGCCATTGAAAACCGATTTTATCATTAGGCCACCAGCCCTTTTAATTTAAAAATAGGGGAGGAGGGATCCCGTTCTTGTTTTCAGATGAGAATGTGCATTGTTGTGATAGCTGCTGGAGTCCAGCATCTTTATAGTGTCATAGATCCATGAAGCCACCATGTATTAATCACTTTGTACCATGCAGTGTTCCAAAACCTCATATATGACCATTAGGGCTGTTATTACATACATTCAAAGCACAGAGAACTTTTTGTGATTGCCAAGGGTCACAGACAGCATCAAGTGATTGGGAGCAAGATGTGAGGTTAAGTAGATCTACTCCAAAATAAGGCATGGAAGCATAGTGATGACAAGGGAAGACTTTGGTGGTACATGGATTTGAGTTCAAATTCCAGAAATAAACAACATTCACTGGCCATGAGATCTTATGCAAATGACATTACTTTCCTGTGCCTCAGTTTCCTCATCTGTTAAATGGTTCTTTTAAGGATTGGACAAGAGTTGGCCCAGTGCCTACTAGACAGTAAGCGAACAATAGCTTCTATAAGTGAATTGGTTAGCTTCTGATGGTGGTGGTCATGGTACTACCCTGCCCCCAGTCCTTTCCAGCAGGCCCTCCATCTGTCTGCTCGCCTCTCCTACCTTCCTGTTGGAACAATGAAGCCAAGTCCCTCCTTTTATCTCCTCCTCCCTTCTCCCTTCCTTCCAGTGATAACCAGCTCTCCCTGGAATGTTTGGTATTCTCACCCCTACCTTCGTGTTCAGAGGGGAAGGAAGGGAGAGAACTTGCCTTCAGGAGCCTCAAGCTCCAAGCTTCTCATGAGTTGGAAGTAGGAGCCTTAGGCCCAGACTTCAAAGGAATCTGCCTGGCCATGCTGGTTGTCTATAGCCTAGTCCAAGGCTCACCTAGTAGGCAGCCATGCCACCTACTTTGAGGTCTGGCTCTGCTGCATCCTAACAGAGCCTTTACCTCCCTGGGTCACATCATCCTCACCTGTAACTTGAGGATCACAGACTGTTGTAGGGATAAATGCTCCTGTCTAGGTGAATATCAGATGGTGCCTTAGCCCAGACTATCCTGAAACTCGCTCTGTAGACCAGGCTGGCCTCTAACTCCCTGATCTACTTGCCTCTGCCTGGGTGCTGGGATCAAAGGCAAGTGCTACCATGCCCAGTTTAGATAGTGACTTTTTAGAGTAGGATCCTGAGTAAGTGAAAGGATCCTGAGTAAGTGAAAGGATGTCACTGAGAGCAAGGTGATGACCCCAGCCACCTGCCAGCTGCATTGAAAGTCCTAGCTGTCACATAAGCAAGCCCCTTACCCTTGTGAGTCTTCAAAATTTATCTCTTTCTTATCCATGGCCTCACTCTCCTCAGACAGCAGAGATCCGTGTTCTTATGGTATGGATGCATGTAGAAAGAGCCCCTTCAGACAGGCTCTGACAAGTCCGCTTTTGTACAGATGGCTATTTCAGCCCTACTGTGCCTCCTGGTGGCCCTACTCCATCTTCACAACAGTCTTGATCCCACAAATCCCAGCTGTGCTTCTGTCCCCGGAGCTTTCCTGTGTACCTATTCCCAGCCCCATGCTCTCTTCACAGGTTATCCGAGAGGTCAGCAGGCCATGCGGGGGAGCCGAGGGCTTGGAGGCCCCCAGATCTCCAGTCTTCCTGTGCAAGCTGGATCAGGATAAGGTATGTCTGTCTCCATTTGTCTCCTCGGGGTAAGGTAGTGGACACTAAGCACAGGCCTTAGACTCACAGGCTTGTGGTGGACACACACATACACACACACACACACACACACACACACACACACACACACCTGTAGCATCATACAAGCTAAGCGCCAAGTGTCAGGTGCGTAGTCAGCTTAGTCTCTGTGACTACATAACTGCCATAAACAGCTAAAGGAGGAAAGATTGGCCTTGATTCAGCCCCAGTCAGCTGGATGCATGCTGCAGGCCTTGGTTGAGGCTGCACATCATCAGGGTGCTGTATTGCAATAGTAGGAATAGGTGGGACACATGGAGTCAGTCAGTGCAGCCAACCTCATAAAAGACAGAAGAAAGTAAACAGGGAGGCAGGAAGGGACTAGGTGTGTATCTTCTCAGAGACACCTGGCCTAACCAGTTCCACTGTATCCATCAGTTTCAGATAGTTAAATTTATCCCTGAGTAAATCCAATGAAGGATGAGAACCCTTAGGGTCTAGTCACTTCTCAGAAGTCCCACTCTGGAATGCTTGTTTTGGAGACAGATTTTCAGAAGAGACTGTTGTAACCAAGTCCAGTAGTAAATAAGGAACAGCGCTAGCGTTTAAGCCCACACAGGCTGGCTTAAAGCCCACTCAGGACTCTGTTACAAAAATAGAACCCCCTCCCCAGCCACTGGGCAAATCCCGTAGAGAGGCTCCACCCATATCAGGCCCTATGCAGAAACCAATTTGAACCCTGACCCCACTATGTCTACAGCCCACTGGTCAGGCAGGCATGATTCAAAACAGTCACGCTGTATTAGAACTGCTACTCTGGGTACAAGCTAAAAGAGACAGTGAGTGTCAGGGGGGCATGCTCCTGTCTCAGAGGTTCACGAATATTCCTAAGGAACCATGCTTCAGACAAGGATGAAAGGAGCAAAAATAAAATTAAAAGGTACTCAAAGCAGAAAGAATTGACACTGGAGCAGAGAAAATGTAGGACTGGTAGTGGCCTGTGTGGTGTGGTCTAGAGATGGGGAGCTGTTGGAGCTGGCCCTGGACAGGGACAGAAAATGGAACTGGGATATTGGGATGGCTGGAGTATCAGGGAACATGAATGAAGTGAAGGGAAGGAGAAGCCCCGCCCTGCCCACATTTAGTGTTAGCCAGTAGTAAGGCCGTAGGGAAGCAGCACTGGAAGAGGGTGTGAATGTGCAGATACACGCTAAGATACAGCCAGCACTGGAAGAGGGTGTGAATGTGTGGATACACACTATGGTACCGCCAGCACTGGAAGAGGGTGTGCATGCGCGGATACACACTATGGTACCGCCAGCACTGGAAGAGGGTGTGCATGCGCGGATACACACTATGGTACCGCCAGCACTGGAAGAGGGTGTGCATGCGCGGATACACACTATGGTACCGCCAGCACTGGAAGAAGGGTGTGAATGTGTGGATACACACTATGATACAGCCAGCACTGGAAGAAGGGTGTGAATGTGTGGATACACACTATGATACAGCCAGCACTGGAAGAGGGTGTGAATGTGTGGATACACACTATGATACAGCCAGCACTGGAAGAGGGTGTGAATGTGTGGATACAAACTATGGTACGTCCTTGTGCAGTTCAAAGGCTCAATAGAGCAACAGTAGAGCAAGCTGTGCAGTGGAGTTCTCTGCCATGGTTGAGTGTACAGGGAGAGGGTAACTAATGTATTTATGATGGTCTTTTTGGTGGAAAAAGAGCGGGGATGTTGTGTTGCTAGGTCTCTTTCCGTGGGATCGTAAGAGTGAAATATCACCACTGAATTCATTACAAAGCACTCACAGCCTTCCTTTGTATTTGTTTCCCGTATTGGTGGAAAAGTTGTTATATGCACACTGTTGCAGAACAAACAGGAATATAACTTCAGTTTCAAAACCTACAGACAAGATTTTTCAAATGTGTAAACGACTCATCCACTTTCTGATAAGTGCCTCCCCATTCCCACAGCCAACAAGGAATAGTAGCATTATAATTTCTTCCATAATTTCTGCTCTACCTCCTTTGTAGCATATGAATTTATTAATGAATCAATGAAGGTATGATTGTTAATACACTGGCAACAAAAGTGGTGTGTGTGTGTGTGTGTGTGTGTGTGTGTGTGTGTGTGTCCCTTCAACCTCTCATTCAAGGTAGAATTGTAATAGATGTCTACTGATCATCAGATATTATCACAACTTGTTTGAAAACATCTTTTAGCTCACCCCTTTTCCTGTATGCTGTCACCTTGCTCTGTCCCTTTCTGGAACTTCATCCTGATCAGCTCACGCAGGGGCTCTTCAGCATCCAAGTTTGCCCCCTCTTGTCCATCCCTACAGTGCCACTGGATTACATTTGCATCCCGTGCAAATGCTTGCCCTTCTCCCTGTCACTTGCCAGACACAGTGCATATTCCAGGACATTGCTGTCAATGCATTATAATTAACGGCCTCATTCTTCCAGAGAGTGTAACCTGAAGATATGTCCATGTGTAAGTCATTGCTAACTTTCTGAGAACATTGGTGTGGTATCGAGTACTTGATAACTGCTGCTTGGAGAATTGGAAGAAGACAGGGCAAATAAGGGAGTCCTTCTGAGAGTCCCCCTGATGTGAGACTGTCTATGTCCTTCCCCAGAGATTGTCCCAAGAGAAACAGAATTCAGACTCTGACAGCCTGGGCATGAATGACAGCAGCTCCACCCTCAGCCGCCGAGAAGCCTGTGAACATGGTAGGAGTTTCCACTTGTTCATGCTGGAGAGTGTCAAAGATGGGAGTGATTTTGCCACAGGTACACTGTGGTAGAGCAGGTCCTGGGAACCTGAGTAAGGCCTCTGGGTCTTTCATACCAGAATTACAGACTGCTCCCTGTGTGTAGGATCTGGAATTACAGGCTAGTCTCGGTGTAGAGGTTGCAAGGGCTGCTGGGAAGACCAGAGACAGGTAAAAGTAGGACCATGGCCTCCTTCTCCATCCCCTGTGACCCACTGCTATGCTATCAGGTAAAGGGAAGAAGAATAGCCTCGCTGAGCTAAAGGGCTCCATGAGCAGGGCTGCAGGCCGAAAGATCACCCGCATCATCAGTTTCTCCAAGAAGAAGGCGCTGGCTGAGGACCTGCAGACATTTTCCAGTGAGAATGAGGTTCCATGCTGTGGTAAGTCCCGACTCAGAGAAGAAGGTAGTGCAGACCCCTGAACCCAGGCTCCTGGAACTGGTTCCAGGAAATTGTGCAGGGCCCCTGGCCCTCTCCTCTGTGTGGCTAGACTCCACTCTATCAACATTCATGCCTAGGGAAGGGGAAATTCGCTGACCATCACATATATGATTCCTGTGAACTCAATCAAACCACTGTCCCTCTATAGGCTTTAGTTTCCTGTGCTAATATGAGAGAGGAGTAAAATTACAGCATTTAACATGACAGAAATCCTGGCCTTGGTACTACATACCTGTAATTCTAGAACTAGGGAGCCGGAAGCAACAGGATCAGGAGTTCAAGGTCATCTTGTCTACATAGCAAGTTCAAGGTCAGGGGCCAGCCTGGACTGCAAATGGCACAAGTATATAGGTTTCATTCATATGTATATGTAGCTTATATCCTGGACTTTATAGGCTAGAAAAAATAGAAGTTACACAAAAATATGCCTGCTGCCTTTATGGAGCTGGAAGGAGTTTAACCCTGTGTGGGGAAAACTCTTTGCAAGACTGGAGTTGCTTGCTGGGAGGGTCAAGCACCTTGAAGGGCAGTGGTTTCTGGTTTATATACATACTGACGCACCTGTAGATAGATTACAACCTAGTCTGATAAGGAAAATTGGGATAAAAATAGTAAGTACTTTTTAAGATAAATACATGTTAGTAAAAAGTGTCTGGCAGAGAAGGTATTACCTGTTTCATAAAATGCCATGGTCCAGTAGATAATCACCTGTTTTAAAGGGGATAGGGGTATGTTTTCATGGAAGAGCATTTGCCTTGCTGTGTGAAATCCCAGGTTTCATACCCAGCATAGTAGAAAATAAAATCATCTATTTCAGATATACAAAAATATTATATTAGTTTAAAAGCTATAATTATAACCCAGTGGTGGTGGCACACACCTTTAATCCCAGCACTCAGGAGGCAGAGGCAAGCGGATCTCTGTGAGTTCAAGCCAGCCTTGTCTGCAGGGCATGTTCTGATGCAGCAAGGGCTACCTCAAAAAAAAAAAAAAAA